GCAAGTTTGTGGTAGGACCTGCAGCCTGGGGAGAGGAGCCCACGCAGGAGCAGGTTTTCCGGCAGGAATTGTGGCCTGTGGGAGACCCACACTGGAACAGTTTGTTCCTGAAGGACTGTACCCCGTAGAAAGTACCATCTGGAGCAGTTCTTGAAGAACTGCAGTCTATGGGAAGGACTCACGTTGGACAAGTTCATGAAGGACAGTATCCCTTATGAGGGAGGGACTCCAAGCTGGAGCAGGGCAACAGCGTGGGGAGGAAAGAGCAGCAGAGACAAAATTTCATGAACTGACCACAAATCGCCAGTCCCTATCCACCTGCACTCCTTGAGGGGGAAGGAGGTAGACCTCATGAGGGAGCTGAACCTGTGAAGAAGCAGAAGTGGGAGAAAGGTGTCTTTAGTTTTGTTTTTCTTTCTCAATATCCTACTCCCTATTAACTGCCAATAAATTAAATTAATTTTCCCCAAGTCTGGTTTTGCCCCTGACAGTAATTGCTGAGTGATCTCCCTGTTGTTAACTCAAACCATGAGCTTTTTCAGCATATTTTCTCCCCCTGTCCTGCTGAGGAGAGGGAGTGAGAGAGCAACTTGGTGGGCACCTGGTGGCCATCCAAGGTCAAGCCACTACACTGACACACAGAGGACTGACATCTGTCCTTGTCACAGTGCCATTTCTGCAAGGTGACACAAGAGATTGTGACTTCAGAGAGCCAGTAGAGGCATGGAGGGCAATGCTGTGAGTCATGTTTAACCAGCTAATGTCCAAAATCAAACCTCTGAGCCCACTTACACAAGCCATGCGTCATCTGAAATTACATCTACCTCCTGAAGACAAACAAACTGCTGTAGAACACCATGGGTGGCTAGAGCATGAATGGCAAGGGTATATTCTCCCAAAAACTGACACAGTATATTGAGGTTTTAAAAGAGATCTGCCAAACTGCTGAAATTTCTCTGTCCATCATTCTAGAGAGCCAGAGAAATCTAGATGTACTTTGTAGAGTCCAGAGTTACACAACTACGCTTTGGTCATTGTGGGCACAAGACAGACAGTGTTGGGAGCAAAGAGAGGCAATAGGGTGGCCAAAGACAAGGACGTCTAGCTCTGAACGATGCCTTTCCTCTGCAAGTTGCAGGGCACTCTTTCCTTCGCTGGCCATACCCATTAGCCAGGCATGTGTGTAGATATCGTCTCCATCTGGGGTCAACAGTATCACGGGTTGCTCAGGTTTCCCTGATTTTTGCAGAGCAGAGGGACATGCACAGCTACTGGATGAAGCTGTGAAGATGCCCCATCTCCAATGTCTGCAAGCTGGTGCCTCAGCAAGGCCAAGTGCAGAAGAGCACAGGTTTTCTGGGGATGGTGCCTCTCCACAGGGGCACTGGGAGTGGTGTCTGCTGGAATCCTGGACTCCAGATTCAGCAGCTTCCTATCTGAGCCTGCTAGTGAGGGACTAATTAATGCTCTCTGGGGGCACACTCCAGATGGAAGGGGAAAGTGAGAGACAGGCAGCCAGACAGGCCAATGCTTCAGACATCTGAGCCAGTTGGGCTCCGTGGGCAGAGCTTTCCGCCTGCCGCTTTCCCCAGCAAGTCTCGCCTGCTCTGCAGCGTCACACCAGGAGAACCTGAGACAGCAAAGCTCTGGTGTCCGTGCAGTTCCCTTGTTGCAATACATTGATCGGAGCTCTCTTAAAGAAAGTGGCCTGGATATCTGAGACACCTATTGATTGCTCCATTGGCTCTCTTCCTGCCCTGATCCTCATTCACTCGGCATTGCCTGAATAACCTGCACTTTGTGTTAGGGACAGTCTCCCCAGATCTTAAAGGGCTACATTCACAGCTGTTTACCTAGCTGCAGCCCATGGAGGGAGGAGAGAAAATGCCTGGTGACCCACATATGCATTCCCCAAGGGGAGGGCCTAAGTCTCTTCTGCAGCATCAAGCTGAGCATTTCAAGTGTAAGGCAGAACCTTGAAGACATGGTTACCTGGTTTTGCCATCTTTGAGTACTGGTGCCTTTTGCCTGAAGAACAGGCTCATGCCACGTGCCCCGTAGGCAGGAGGTGGTATCTACATCATGTATGGCATCAATAACTAGGAAAATCTTTCCTCCCTTAATGAGAAGAAATTATGAAGCCCTTAATTAGTATTAATGGAATATCATACGCTTCTTCTTCAGAGGAAGGACAGTTTTTTTACCCAGGAATGTCCTCACTAAGTTACCAGCCCAGTGCCAAGGACACCAAGGAGAAACCTGTCAAGAGAAGAACTGGTTTTTATATCTTACCTTTAACCACAAGACTGTTTTTCTCCAAACTCCTGGTAATCAAGCACGAGAAAGAACCTGGCTTATCAACCTTCTTCCGTGGATGAACCCAAGGAAGAAGAGAGAATTACACCAAGGAAGGGTAACTATTTGAAGTGGAAAAAAAATCATAGTTCAAGTATCAAGATACCTCTTGTCCTAATGAGTGCTTGGAGACTACAGAATAGGCTCTCAAGGGAAACCAAGACAACAGGGGTTTTTAAAATCAGTTAAACTACTAGAAATGTACAGCTGGGAACACACTCCTGCCCTGGCAGAGAAAAAGGATGGGTGAGCTAATAGGATGACAGATCAGAGATGGAAAAGACCAATGAACCTTTCCTAATCTAAAATCCCTTGTCAATTCTGCATTTTTGAGCAAGTCAAACAATTATGGATTTGTTCTTTCCAGAAACTCCTGGCTCTGTGGAGACTGAAGACTGTAAAACCATTTTTCTCCCTTTTTGGATTTTGCTTTTAAAGATGTGTATTGATTGAGTTCTGTATACTAATACTTTGTGCTTTCACCAGGTTTCACATAAAGTTAACTAATCTCTCCTCACAATCCTTCTGCAAAGCAAAGCAGTATGACCCTTATTTCTCAGTTCAGGAAACTGAGCAAAATAAAAATAATACAAAAAAATGCCTGCGCTACATCACTTGACCACTCTGTGTTAGGACACAGGAGTCCAATTTGCAGATTGCTAGTGTAGTCTCCTCTGCTCTCTTCATATTGTCATGTGTTCTTGCATCCCATTACTATCAATAAATCTTTATACTGCATATTCCACAGCTCTAAATATTATGGGCAGGATCACAGATACACTAACATCAATAGCAAACCACGTTTCCCCAGTGGCTTTAATGATGCTGAATCAATCCCTATAAGAATAACTAAATACACTTCAGCACAAAAGCAGCCTTAGAGTCAAATTTCAGTTTGCCACGAGTAGTATCCCATGGGGTTTGGGAGTTCAGGCACAGCATAGTATGAGTGAAGCTACATTGGTTTCCAGTCTAACTTTGGTCTGGAAAGAGTTAACTGGTTTCACACAACTTGGAGGCTAAATCACAAAACCCTTCACAGGACCCTGCTCTAGACTGTGTCGAACTCCCAGAATTGGAAGCAGAGGACGCCCTGGCCACACGGTCAGACATGCCAGCACTGGTTCCTGTGACTCTGCTCCCGCAGCTGCCAGCTCCGAGAGGGTCAACTGCTTGGATGCAGGGCAGCACAGACCCAGGAAGCCAGAAAGCCTGGACCCATGTGCTGCTGCTCTGCAGTGACTGGAATCACATCAGGCTTTTAACACTGTTTTATGGGATTCATATGAGCAGGCTAGAGTCCATCACCAATCTGTGCTCCCACTAAAGCCAGTGTCACTAGTGTGGATTGGCATGTGGATAAGGGGATATATTCCCTCCCTGAACTACCACATGCAGAGAATCAGGTTTCCAGTGGTACCTCTCTAACTCCAAAAGTAGGTGCCTCCCTTGCAGCAGTGGATCAAGATCCTCTACCACATCTACACCTAGGTTAGGAAGGGCCAGACTACACAAGTCTGCATCTCCTCCCCTTGGTAACTGGTGTGCTCTAGCAGGAAAATATTCAACCACAGAAACTACACATCCGTAAAAGAACAGAGCAGGGTTCAACATCTAACCTACATTCTTAATGACACTGGCTGCCATCAACTTGCCTCTTAAGAAATGAGAGAGCCCTAGTGCAAAGCAATACATGCTCAAGTGACATTGTACAATTCATCACCGGCTGCTATGATGGTATGACCTGGAAGCAAGCTGCATGCTGGCATCTTGGCTCCAGCATACAGGACTTGTGCAGACCTCAGGCAGCTGTTGTTCCTTGTGGTTAAACTGAGGGGACCATGCTCTCAGGTACAGCAATGCAGAGGGTTACACACATTGCTTCTCCTTCCTCCCCCCTCCTCCCCTCACTGCCTCTCCCACAGGGACCCAAGGGAAACAAAGCTTTAAAGTCAATCCATAAGAATGTGTTTAACTGTCACTGAATCCCCTGTGGTTCACCTTGAATGGACAAGGATTGGGGAGGGGGGTGGGGGGAGAAAAAGCAGCACAAGAGAGAAGCTGAACAGTGCTCAGAGAGCACGGAACAGATCAATAGGCTGAGCACAACGCAGACTGAGCATGCAGGGCAGGGAATCCACACCTCCCAGACAAACCTGTGCTACCCAACATCTTTAGAAAGTCTCCTGAGTGGGAATATAGGCAAACTTCCATTGCACACTGTGCCGTAGCTGTGCATTAACTCCATTCTTCCCTGATGAAGCCCAGACAACCCAGTCACGATCACGCAAGAACCTCTTCTCCCCAACACTGCAAAATGACCTGGGGGTCAAGAACAGCAACACCCTCCAGCCCAGTGTTCCTCTGGAAAAGGAAACAGTCTGGCACAGCCAGTTTCCAGGTATTTGACAAATCTGCAAGTGCTAAGAGTCATATCCTACCATGAGGGTGCTTACTAGAACCACTCTCCTCTCTGGACTGCCCTCTTGGTTGCTGCCCATCTTGACTCTTTTGCAAAGGCTGTAAAAAATACCTTCGGAAAGCCAGAGAGGGCAAGCACGTAGTCAGCCTATGAGATCCTGCAAGACCTGGAGTCCCAGGTGCTGTTGGGACAGAGAACAATTCTCAGTCTGACTCTGTCTTACCTTCTTTTAGCATCCCCACTTTGAGGCATTTCATGAAGCGACAGGCCTGACAGGACTTGCGCCTCCGTTTCGTGATCTCACATTCATTGGTGGCCGGGCAGCTGTATTCAATATTCCCTGCAATCAAACACAGAGATGGTCACCCAGGAACCACGTTCTCCCCACTGACCCAGGGACAGGCTGCAGTGCCCAGATATTCCCACCATCATCAGCTTGTATATGCAGTATGTTTGCCCACTCATCTGCACACACACATATTCTAAGAACCCAGCCAGCTGATCACGGCTCTTTGAAAGGCCAGCACTACTTACTAGAACACGTTTCAGAAAAAAAGGCAATACTGCTCTAAGTATTGGAAGAAACCTGTCCATTCAAAGGGCTGCCTGCAATGCTGGGCTTTCAAACACAGTGTGTCCTCCATGAATGTCATCATCCCTTGTACCGCATCCCTTATAACCTGGCCTGTTCCCTTAAGTCCAGGGCTGAGAGTGGGAGCAAATCAGACATCAGCATCATTCCCTTTGCTGCCAGTCTTGTTCCATGTCTGTGGGATGGATGTCACCTGTCTTTTCTTGCCTTGCTTGGGGGACCAGGGAGCTCAGAGATGGTATTTCCTCTTTTGCTTCCTCCTGCCAGTTGGCATACTACAGGTAGCAGGGAAGGAGTAGGTCTGAATTGGGAAAGATGGATAAAATGTCCTGTAAAATGAACACACAGGCTCTCTATGCAAATCTTTCCAGTTTTACTTTATTAGTCCTTGTGCACCTGCCTCTCATTCCAGAGCATCAGCATTTCTTTCCTTATTCTTTTTCATTTATGATCACCTCACAACACTCACAAGACTGACTCTGAGGCAAAACAGGAAAAGAAGCATTCCAAATTTATTTCTGGTCACAGCGTATTTTATCATAAGCCAAGAATGTAAATGAAACATGGATGAGAGGGTCTGATATGAGGATGTAAGTGGAATTATGCTGATCACTGTGTAACACAACAATTATTTAGTACTAGAAGACAACAAACAGAAACGGCTGTCTCCATCCTGCCATTCACTTTGCATGTGATGTTTCTGAAGAGGGCTATTCAATGTTTGCGTGGAACAGGGCTGGAAATCCAACCTTGACAGTATGATGCATTGACAGTGGCAATATATTTAAGGCAGTCTAGCTACTGGGTAAATTGGGAAGCTCCAGAAAGGATTTCTAAGTTCTACAGTCAGTTCAGAAGAATGGAAAAGTTGGTTTGATGGTTTAGAGCAGGAACTTGGGATTCAAGAGCTCAATCAGAGCTGTAGGGAGGAGTGTAGGTAAGAGCTGAGAGAACAAATGGTATAGGATCAGACTAGAAACAGAGCTCACAATTTAGTAGCACTTGGATGTGACTCGATTTTTGTTCCTACTTTTGTAATGGATTTTGATGTTCTTGTGCAAGACCACTCCTTCTTCTAAATAAGACCAACAATCTCATACATTCCAATCTCTGGCAGGGTGTGTGTTTGTGATTAGACCTTGGGGCAAACTAAGCAGTTTGAAAGTCCATTGGGAGTCTGAGTGGAAAGACAGAGCACACATTCAAAAAGAAGAAAGCACCATCTGATTTATCTCACTATGCTTGGCCCATACTGGGTGAAAGCCCAGGAGCACACAACCCCCAAAGCCTAAAGGTGATCTGCCTGTGAGTTATAAACTTTCTACCTCTTGCCTCCTGTTTTGTCACAAGACTTGAAACTTGCCCCTAAGCCCCAGTCCAGCCACCCCATTCCTCACCATTGCCCATCTGCCCCCCAAATGCAGTCTGTCTGCAGGAGCAGCATGTGCTGCACAAGTTGCTTCCATTCAGACTGTATTTCGTCATTGCACAGCACCTGAATTTCAATAGCCAGCAATGTATCAACATTCTCAGAGAGATGGAAATTGAGATTCAGGCTTGATCTCAAGCTAATAAACAAACTGCTCTAGACACAGAGCTCCAGCACATTACAGACCCATGACTATGGAGGCCCTGACCTCATGATCTGATAACTGCTGTGACCCACGCAGGAAGGAACAAATCTGGGATAAAACTCAAACACAGTCTCCCTTTGGAAGGTTTTGTCTTAGTTTCAATGCCCAACTTTCTCACCAAAGCCAGGACCAGAGTTCTGGAGAGATGTATGATTTCACATTTTGTGGTCCCAAGGCCAAAAATTTGCCCCCTAGCACAGACACTATACCAAGGGCACCGAGCCCTTATAGTGGCAGGAGGCAGTGATAGCCCCCATTTGGCTGCTCAAGGTCCCTCAACACTGTGTCAGGCAGATTCCCCACCCACCCCATGCCTCCAGCCCATGGACCTCTTGACAAGCGAAGTACTGGAAATGGTCTACAAAACCTAGATCACAACTAAGTATGATAGTGTCAGAGTAGGTGTAGGTACTATTACAATATACACACCGTATGTACAGCTTGAAAAAGCAGTTATGAAAGGCCCTTCTGTACTGGGATCATGACTGTTAAAGGAGCAGAGCCAGAGGAGGGTGGGCACTAAGCAAGCTCCCCCTTCCTGGATGGCAAAGCAGCAGCAAACCATGTAGTGCAGCAGCCATGTGGTTTTCTGGTAAGCACAGGTGCAAAAATACACCCAGCACTGGTGGAACATCCTGTTCAGCATGCTTATTGCCTTCACACTGAACACAGGCTCATGTGCCCCTTCCACACTCGGTGCCCAGTCTAAAGGAAGAAAGGAGCAGCAGCAGCTGTGTCTTACAGCCTTCTCTACAGGGGCAAATGCCAGAGGCAAGGCCTGCTGTATCCTCTTCACACAAGACAATGCTGCCAGAGTAAATGGAGTTTTATATCAGGCCCCAAAACATGCTCTGTGCTGCATGGGTTGAGAGCTACAGGTGGGGGCAATACCTGCCATTATTGCAGGAAATAGGGACATGACCAGGGAAGGCACAATCAGCATTACCCAAGCAGAACTCATAAAAAAACCCCTATCGTCTCCAAAACTTTAACAAAGTTCTCTGACTTTTTTTTTTTTTTTTTTTTTTTTTTTTTTGTGTCTCAATTTCTTTTATGGGTCCTGGGGCTGGCTGCCAGCAGAGTGAGCTGCTCACAGCTCCCTGTAATTTCTGTAAGTGCCCTGTGATAAAGTGATGAGATTAACTCATCGAAATTCCAGCAGCCTCCCAGCGGCTGGCGGTCACACCACCATCCCAGCTGCCGGCACAGGGGGCTTGGAGGAAGCTTCCCCTTCACTGCAGCAGCTGGGGGTGCTGCAAGGCCCTGCAGAAGAGTGTCAGCACAAAAGGATGCACATGGACAAGTCTATATGCAAGTACAAAATCTGAATCAAATCTCTGTGTGTCATGAACTGTAGATTATGTGACCCAGAAGGAAAGGGCAGAAAATGGGATAATCTAATAGACAAGGCCTTGCTTTGAACTGTTGCTTATTAGAAGAGATTTTGTTGACTTAGACATTATTTACATCTGATAAGAAAAAAAAGCTAGGACCTCACCGATGTCACAGAACAAGATTTACCTAAAAAGTCACTTCAAAAAGTCATGTGGTGTGTGAACAGATCAGAGTTTGGATTTGTTCTAAGACTTCATATGTCACCTTGGAGGGCAAATCACTTCCTCTCTGTGTCCTAGTTTGCTCATCTGCAAAATGAAATAAGCACCAAACCTACCTGCTGGGGAGATTCTGAATCTTGATTCATTAACTGTACTTCAAAGCCTTTAGATGAGAGATGCTAAGAAACAGCCAAGCACTATTAAAATGACAGATCATGTTTTCTATTCTGGAGAACCACAATATTACCTTATTTTCTGTAAAATTAGACCTTTGACAGTTTGGACGATAATTTCCTGTGCACCTTAAAACTGCACACCAGAGCTTGGTCATTCAAGAGACCCCACAGTCACCATACCTCTCTGGAAGGGGAAGGACTGGGAAGAGGAGAATGCCTCCCTGAGCTTGGGGAGCACAGTAAAGTTCCACCCAGCTCCTGCTTAAGTTCTGGACAGGGCTCTTCAGGGGAGTTGAGCTCAGTAGTACAGCACTGAAAGCACAAGCTGCTCTCTGCTTACTGATCCTGGCTTTCTAAAAAGTCACTCTACAAGGAAACTCAAGAAAGATTAGACAGAAATATCCAGGAAAGTCTTTAAAGGTAAAAAATTTTCAGCTTATGGTTTCTGAAGAAAACCCCCCATCTTTCCTTTTTCCAGTTTCATCTTCATTGCTTTTCACCATTCTTTCCCTCTCTCTTCCTTGCACACTCTGTCCTGCTCTGCACTGCTGCACACAGACCCCTCATCTCTTTCTCTGGGTGACTCAGAGGACTAGATGACTGCAGCTTTTCTTGAATTTTGGGGAAAACCCCAGATTCAGAAATATCTGCCATTAAGTTCCAAATTTAATTCATTCAAGTCATGTCTTTCACCCTAATGATCTGACTGCAGTCCCTGATCTGCAGTTGTGACCAACTGTGTGGTGCCACGCTCTGCTGGCTCTCAGGGGCAAGAGGGCTGAGAGCAGGAGTTCCCAAGGAAATCCATCTCATCAGTGCCTCAGCTCAGCTTGTGCATTTCCTTTTATTCTAATTTTTGTACCAGTTGTTACATTGCCCTCACAGGGTAGGTTTTTTCACTGTTTGGTTGGGGGTTTGGGGGTTTTAGGGCTTTTTTCTTTGTTTTATAAGAACTGCTTGCAAAATACTGTAACCTTAGGAAGGTCCCATCAGGCAGTCAGTATAATGCCTCTATGGTACAGCTATTCTACATGACTGAGACAGTCTGTAGGAGAAGCAACCTGAATTTTCAGTAAGCTACTAGCTGTGATGATACTTTCATTTCAGTACCCACAAGCTTTTGTCCTGAATCCTTCTTTGATTCCAAAGGTAAACAGATTATTTGGGTGTCTCAGTGAAAAGGGACCTGAAAATTGTAAAAAGGTCGTGGTGAGTGCTGTGCCAAACCAGCAATTCCTCTGCCCTCAGCAGGCACCAGTCTGACCTCCTGCACCAGGATAGGGAACACTGATAATATGCATGGACTGGATTCTCTTTACCTTCCACTTAAATTAGCCCTTCTAACTGAGGCATCATAGCCTCAGTCCTGATGCAAGGAGAGG